CCCCCCCCCCCCCCCGACAACAAATTACCAAAGGTCCACATTTTCGAGGGTAGAATATGTTCACCACCCCCTCCCCCAATGTGTCAAAATTATTTTAAAAAAGAAAAGAAATTCATATTCAAATTTAGGTGTGAGAGTGCCATCTCCGGCCATCTAGAGGTGCCATAATCATGAATTTTCTTAGGCTGTGTAGACTTGCCACAAGTCTCATTGATTTTTCGTAGTATTAGCGCATTTCGGAAAGCGCCACCAGCGTCAGTTTATGTCGAGAAACTTTTTTTGATGCGAATTAGAAATACAAGAAAAGGTATACTATGAAACGCCAAGCAAATAGGTAATATGCAACGCCATTGGTGCCAAAATCGATTTTTTTTCCAGCTTTTTTACTGATTAAGACAAAGTTTAGGGACTGGAACCCAGTCTAACGGCTGTGGTGTTGTCAACTCTAATTCAGTGCCGTAGTCAAGATTTTCAAACATTGCGGGACAATATCAGGGTGGACCCAATTTACACGTAAATTGAAATAATGTGGACCCAGTTTCTTAAAAGTTGACCAATTTTACGCAAAAATATAAAAAAAATCTGGACCCATTTTCTTAAAATTTTATCCATTTTAGGTTAAATAATAAAAATCTGTAACCATTTTTCATAAAGTGGACTCATTTTATGCATGAAATTGCATAATTTGGACCTATTTTTAAAATGTGGACCCATTAGAAATATTGTGTGGGATCGGACTGTCCCAACTGTCCGAATAGCTGGCTGCTGCATTGCTCTGTACAATCCTTCCCTCCCCCACTCATATATCAAATTCCCAAATCCGCCACTGACAATTTCCTCCATCTATGAAGTCCCTCCCTGGCCTTTTATCAAATGCCTAGATCCGCCACTAAAACTGATGCATCTTTAGAAATCGATTAAATATGACCTCAAATTATCAAAAATGCCTGAGCTCCACCACCTCGATCCCAGCAGCAGTGTTCCCAAGCGCCACCCTCCCACATTTTCGGCCATAAGGTGCCATAATCATAAATTTTCTTACCTCAGGCCCAACCATGGTGAGGCTGAGGTGTCATGGACTCTCAAACAGTAAAATTCCTTCCCTTCCCCCTGCCCACCCCCCAAAAATTTAAAAAAAAAAATTGGGAATAAAGAAAATGATATTCAAGTTGTATGAAAGTGCAATTTCTGGCCATGTTGAAGGTGCAATGGTCAAAGTTTTCTTTCCTCAGCTTCAACCATGGTGGGGCTGAGGTGGTATTCCTCCATTGTGAAAGTCCCTCCCTGGCCCCTCTTCAAATTTCTAGATCCGCCACAGAAAACCGTATTTGCATCTTCAGAAATCGATTAATTAAGACCTAAAATTATCAAAAAAGCCTGAGCCCCGTCCCCTCGATCCCAGCAAGATCCCCTCCCCCTAAAATCTCCTCCAGTTTTGGTCCAATCTCTACAAATTCGCAACCACCCAATAAAAATCCTGCGTACAACCATAGAGATTTCCATAGATTTTCTCTATGGTACGAACGAGTCGAATGAAAATAATACTCAACGAAAATTCATAGTCAACGAAATGAACCTGTCGAATATGGCCATTGTGTAGGCGCGCTTTCCTGTGGCCGGAATTCAAAACTATTGGCGCGTAGTAGGCCTAGGCCCTAGGCTAAATTGCTGCTGAAAATGAACGAATCAATTTGAAACGCATGAAACAAGGAGGTAGAATAATAGGTAATAGGACAAGATCGATTGTCACTTGCCTATAATATTCAACTCAGTGTGTACAAATCTAAAATTTAAATAGACCCAGGCCTAGGCCTGCCTTACTTATTAGTTTAGCTAGGCCTACCTAGACCAGGGCCTAGGCCTAGCTAGGGGGTCTGTACCTTTACTACCCTAGGCCTACTACTACTAGGCCCAAGGCTGGGCCTAGCTATACCTTCTTACTCCAGCCTACCTTCTTTTACTGCAGTAGTAATCTATAAATATATACGGTTCATGAATTCAAATAAATCATAAATAGCCTAGCCTAACTTAGAATAGGCCAGGCTAAGCAAGCCCTAGGCCTAGGCCTAGCCTAGGTAGGTTCCCGAGTTGGATATTAAGGGAAGAATTTCAGTATGTTTAAATACTGTCTCTTATACACATCTAGATGTGTATAAGAGACAGTTTCTACATATATATATGTATATATATGTATACATATATATGTATATATATATATATATAATGTACATTTAATATGACTATAAATCAGTATTATTGTTCATATCGTTATTATTATCATTATTTTTTATGTTATGCCTTTTTATTATGCTGTGTTGACCAGACAGACCTCTTTCTGTCTGTTGAAATGTAAACAAAAAATATTTGCTCTATGCCTAGGGCCTGTAGTAGTAGGCCTAGGCCTACTGGCCCCTATAGAAACAAGGTCTGCATTGGATAGACTGACCTAGACTTAGTCTAACTACAGTAAGGTCCAATAAAAAAAATTGTAAGTTTATCACCATTGCCCGCATGTCTTTTTATAGGCATAGGCTACGTAGGTCTAGTATTACACAAAAAAAAAAAAAAAAAAAAATTTGGAATTTTTTTTTTTTAAATAATAAAAATAAAGATTTTTTTTTCTTAAATTTGAAAAAAAAAAAATTTATAATTTTTCACGTTTTGAGTAAATAGTATATGGTTTCTATTATCACAATCATATTTAACTTTTCAAAACATGAAGGCCAACGCCAAGGGTGGTATTTGGCTTTTTGTTGGTTCGAACATTGATGACAAAAAATTATTTTTGTACGAAAAGCATTCTTCATATCTAGGCTAGGCAGTTCAGCAAAATCTCTTTTTTTGGGGTATTTGAAAAGAAGTAATATAATATACTGTACCTCTTTGATTTGTTTTCTTTTTCTGTATGTATACAAACTATTTATTGTAACAAAGATAATCACCTTTCAAGAGTGGGAAAACCTTGAAAATTGAAGAACTTTAAAAAAGTTATGAACAGACCCCCTCAGAAGTTTGGAAAGCTCATTTTTGGCCATCTAAGTATAACAATTTCCTGGATTCCCCTTCGTCTTAGGGTTCTATTTAGACCCCATGCTTCAAATCCTGGATCTGCCACTACAAATGTATAAAGAATATCTTCATAATGATACAAGTGCCCTTGACGCTATTAATTATCTCCCCCTTTCAGCTGTCAGTTGGGTCCATGTGGACTACATTTTTCTGACAAAGTAAAGAAAGATGTCTCTGTCTCAGGATGGGTGAGTACCAATACAGTTAAAAATACAACTACTGTAAACTAATAAACAAATTATAATGATTGTAATTTATAATGAAATACCTGATGTTGCCTAATACATCACATGCCATATTGTTTATAGATCATGTGATTTTATAATTGGAGGGAATAGAAGTTTTCATCCATTTCTATTGCTTTATATTTAGATTTTTTCCATGTGGACTCAAATTATTTAAATATAGGCCAATTTTTATTTAATGTTTTTATGTAATAGATTTCTTTTTGGTGGCAATTAGCCATTCAATGTCTGAGACTACAATAATCTATTTTTGCAAATCTGGCTGTAAATGATATGGGCATTTTACATTTAAGCCAACAGTGTACTTGTACATACATGTATTAAGTATTCAAATTTCCACAACATAATCGACTACATTATTGTCAAATGTTGTATCCATACTGAAGTTCTTGAAACACAAATTTCATTTTAGAACTGAAATTAAATATTTTTATTCAATTATTTAAACTGGATAATTAATTTCATTTTAGAACTGAACTTAAATATTTGTATTCAGTTATTTAATCTGGATAATTAAGTCCATGATTGAAATGTCAATGTGTGCATTTTTGGTCGTAGCTAATTTCCATTGCTACACATACTACAGTCTTACTGCCTGAGGGAAAATAAATTATTACATATTATAAAATAAGACTGACCATTTTGCCAAGTAGTAATATTCCTGCGTCTTGTGCTGAAGACACCATCAGATAATTGGATTTCAGTTGAAATCAGATTGCTTGGCTTCTCAAATAGCCCTCGCATCAGAGTAATATTGACAAGGTCTTTTTTGCCGCATTCAGGCTGCAAATATAAAAAAACCCAAAAATTAAAATTAAATATTATAAACTATCAATGCCTTAATGCTTATTGTAATAATGAAAAACTATATTCAAGAAAGAAGAGTAGGAGATTTTGTTCTGTGTAAACTAATCAACTGCTTTACTGAGATGGCTCAATGTAGTTGACTTGAGTATACTGTAATTATTCCAGTGGTAATGAGTTGTGGCGAGAAATTAAAAAGAATGATCCAGCTGTTCTTTACCGATATGCCACGAACTGGAGTGCAGTAAAGAGAATTGCTTCTTTGAAACCAGAACTTCTGAACACTGTGTCTAATGTAAGTATGTACATTACAAATTATGAGTTTCTTATTCAAATCTATAACATTACAGTTATTATTTTTCTCAAGGATGAGTTTGAAATAATACTGTGAATGTGTCAGACATGAGGTTAATAGCCTAGTTACCATTTTACCAGCCAAATCCATGGGAGAGAATAAATGTTGAGCTATGAATTCTTATGGATAGTAAAAAACCTGACCAACCAACCCTTTTCAAATTGACATTGTACTTTAGCAACACCCGGGCTCGACATTAAAAAAAAAAAATTTCATCACACCACTGCTTTTGGGTTATAGTATACACAGGCAACATTTTTTTCGTGGTCAATTTTTTTTTCCAGGTCTGGTCTGGGCAATAAAATCATGTTCCTCACCTTCTCTTGTTGCTGCTGTTGCAGTTGTAGCAACTATTTTTGTTGCTGCTATTGAAAAGAACTGTAAAATGTTGACAGTATCTTGTAGATTGCAAGAGTTGCATGACTTCATTGTCCTGTTTATTTGAGGGATCGGAGGTGTTTATTACCCTCCGCAAAGGAGCGAAGCCCCTGGGAGGCTATTGCTTTTATACCTATGTTAATCACCTATTGTTATTGTCAGAATCTTTCTTTCTTTTTCTTCTTTCTTTCTCCCCAAATTTGTGACCACGATATCTCAAGATTGCTTCAACCGATCGACATGATATCTTCAACAATCATTAGTCTTGGGGTGGAATCGATACAATAAGCTTTTCAGCGTGATCAGTCACGCGTGACTTCATCTACGCGCAATTTTGCGTTTTACGTAGCAAATTTTTTGATTGATCATAACTTCACTATCGTTAATAGGCCTGTTTTGTTGAAACTTCACACAGGTATACTTCATGTCAAGTACTATCCATATGCACAGTACTGTCCGAATTGCAGCTCATTACGCGCACGTACGCATGCGTTAAAAATTAAATTTGCTCAAAATCATGTTTTGACTAAATTTG